GGTTGACAAAGTGCCTCTGCTGTTTCACACCATCATTTCCCCCTTTTACTCTGTGTGGTAACATCCCCAGAGGAAATATTAAAAACGCTGGGGTGTTGTTGTCATACAGTTGTCTACGGCAGCAGATCGTTCCGTGTTTCTACTGGTCAAAGTGACGGCTGAGATGGGAGAATTGGATCTCAGTGAAGGGCAAGTGGTCCATAACTTTAACTTTGGAGACAAAAAAATGTAGGCTTAGTGCCCTGTGGTCCATTGCCCAATAGGAAATGTAGAATACTCAAAAGTACTTTAAAAGTGCTTGAGTTACTTTTCTCAGGGAGTAACGTCAGAAGTACTTTGAAGTAATTGAGTTACTTTACTCAGGGAGTAATGCAGTGAAGTAACTGGTTACTTTTTAAAAAAGTAACACAGTAATGTACTTTGATTACTTTTAAAGTAACCCTTACCCAACACTGGTGCCTAAATATATACAGACCTTCACCACGGTGCTGTCACACCATAAAACAGCAAGACAAGAATATTTTGAAGCAGCTCGCAGGACTTTTGCAGTTCTAGTGTTACCATCTACGTAGCCACGACTATCTGACATAAGCTTTAGTTATTAGCATGTTTGGCTAATAAGCTTACTAACTACAGTTGTAATCAAGTTAGTGCTATGTCCATCCAACAGCCCAAAACCCCCATTAGTTTGACATTGGACTGAAAGCAAAAACAAACCTATTGCTCCAAAGTCCAGTTTCTCCAAAGTGTTTTTACTGACCTTTTACTAACCCTGGCATTTCTCAGTGGTGCTTCTCAGACGTACAAGCCTCAGAACCCGAGTGTTTTTCACTGACCTGTCCCTGCTCTTCCAGTGACTTTTGTGCCACCAAACGTGGGTGTATTGGTCCAAAACATTATCTTTTCATAACTATAAGCAAATGTTTTTTGAGCCTAACCGAACCACACATTCACCAGTGTTGCTAACAAATATAACATAGCTTAGAGAAACGTACAGTGCTTACTTTTTTCTTCTTCTGGCAATTGGTTTGTCCAACTGCAGGTAGTGTGTATTTTTGGAGAAACCAACCCAGTCTCACTCTGAATTCGTTGAAATATGGCACTTGGTCAGTGACTTTCAGCATCAGACACTGACAAAAAAAGCCATCCTTTCACGTCGGTATGATAGCGGCATCAAGAGGAAATGTGGTGGGACACCAAGCGGAAGTCCAAGTAGGGTTGGCAGGAAGGATGGTGGATGGGTCCAAAAACCACAGACTTTCACCCGGGAGGCCCGTGTTCACCTCCTGTAAGATTGCAAAGCCAAACCCTATTCTTTTGTTCCCCTAACTCAACCACCTGTGTGTGTTGGCAAAATGTAACCACATGTGTTTGTTGTTGAAGGAAAAATAAAACAAGTCAATTCGCAGTGTATGGTTGTACTGGCATAGTCTGTTTATTTTCAAAGAAGCTGTATGCAAACTGTAATTTCCTGTGAAAACTGAAGTGTATTGTGAAAATATACAATGCACGTAACAGGCAGAACTTGACACGGCGTCCCAGAATGTCAACAATCAATGCACCCAGGGTAACCTGCACGTCATATCTGGACGTGCAAAGTCCATGACCAAGCGTCGATATGTGATAAGGTCGGAGTGAGAATGTGTTAGAGAAACAGGACTTCAGAGCAAATGCTGCTGAGAAAACGCTGCAAAGGATTGGTAAACATGCCCGCAACCAGCCGTTGGAGATATTGGCTTTTGGTCCAATGGGACACTTTGTTTTCCAGTGGAAATGTATGGGAAAAAGTCTTTTTTCGCCCAGTAGTGTCACAGACTCTGCTGTTGGGCCAACACTTTCTTACTGCGACCTCGTCACATATCGACGTCTGGTCATGGATTTTCCACGTTGAGATACGATGTACTAGATACCCTGGGTGCGTTGGTTGTGGACGTTCTGGGACGCCATGTCAACTTCAGCCTGTTACATGCATTGTCTGTTTTCAAAATACACTTTAGTTTTGAAGGGAAATATACAGTTTAAATACAGTCTCTTTAGAAATAAACCCACTACGTCAGTGCCACACCACAAATTGACATTTTTTTCCTTCAACAATAAACAGACGTGGTTACTTTCCTTCCTGGGGGCCTGGCGTACACCAGCAACCCCAGTTAGCATTTTATTTGCCAAACACATTGTTTAGGTCTCATTGTCTTGTAAAGCAACACATTTTGTGGAAATAAGAACATATGAAGCTTTTTTTAACATATTCATGGAACTAACGTTAGCTTAATTAGCAAAATCACTTGTTTCAGCGTAGAAAATAGAAGCCTGGTTATTGCAGGCAGAGGTTGTTTCATTATAAATGGCCACAGATTAGATGTTTTTTAAAGCATCTAAAACTTCCAGCAAGGCCAAGTAAATGTACATTAAAGCAATTAAAGCATTCTGAAGAAAGAATACGGCTTAAAGTCAAGTAGGCAGGGTGACTACTTTATGTGTTGTGGAAGATACCAGACTTCATAGTTGTTGTAATTGAAGTTTGCAGGTTCAATTGCTGCAACAGTAGCTTTGTATGATGCCCTTAGTCATTGAACTTGCAACACTTCAGATGTTAATTTAATGCTTTGCCTTGTCAAATACAGCAGCTGAGTGCTTAAGCTTTTTGTAGAAACATTTGTACACCAAACACAAAGAGTGGCATAGAGGATGCATGCTCAGTTGTACATCTTTCTCCTCCTTCATCAATAAAAAAGCACTCCCAGATAATGGAACACTCTGCCTAGAGATTAAATGTATCTGAATTTGATTTAATCAAATATGTTTCTTGTCCTGTACAGTGAAATTTAATTTGCAGAAAATACAAGATAAACAACACAATAAGAACGCCACATAAATGATAAAATGTGGACTATAACATGCCATAGAATCACATAACAAATAACACCAATATATACCAGATGGAGAAACGTCACTTGATAAGGGAGCCGGTGGCTCTGGAGTGCAATAAAAAAGTTACAGCACTACAGAATATGAGTTTTTCTTCTTCATACAAGCATACAAATTGTTGTAACATATACCACGCTGACAAACATCAGTTAATAAGAGCAGACAGGAAGTCAATAGCTCCATAGCCCTGTAGTGCAATAAAATGCTGCAGCATTGCAAGACTCTTATACATTATATCTTCAATCTAAGCAATCTAATTACAGCAGGGGGAAATGAATCACTGTTCCTTTCTGTCTGTTGTTATATTTTGCAACATGAATGACTTGCCCATAACTGTACTTTCTCAGTCTGGACACTCAAAATGTCTCTGTTTGATTGTGTTTTTGCAGGAATACATTATCGGAAGTCCTGTGCCTCCTCCGGGGCTTGCCTCATCGCCTCCTCCGGCTACCAACAGTTCTGCACTGGCAGGCTGAACTCAGTCTGCATCTCCTGCTGCAACACCCCGCTCTGCAACGGGCCCAGGAGGAAGCGTCCCGTCCCTTCTGCGGCGGCGACGTCCGGCAACCAGCTGCTTCTCCTCTTCCTAAACTCCTTTCTGCTGCTGCTGACGCTCCTCCCTGTGACGTAGACTGAGGATCCCATCTCGTCTCCACTGTACAGTTTGTTTTCCTAACTCCAAACCCACAGAAAAGAAAAGACACCTCACCTTGTTGCTACTGTGTTCTTTTTCATTTAGGTTCACACTTCCCAGTTAGAATTAAATTAAGACTTGAAAACACAAGGCAGAATCTTGGCATGTGGTCCTGCAAGGTTAGAGAGTTTGGCAGCAGAAGGGAGAGAGTCAGATCTAATCAGGTTGTCCTTGCAACTTCAGCTAAACAGGATTAACTTGTTTGCACTTTTTTGCTGTTCCGTTGTGACCTATACAGAAATAAATAGCTGTGAATAAACATCAGTTCAGACCACAGTTAAAGAAAAGTTTGACACATTGGGAAACACACTTAAAGGGACAGTTCCAAGTGGCCGATATCGGCCATAGAGATTTCTGCCTTCTCTTCAATGTAATGGAACTAGATGGCACTAGGTCGTGGCTTGTGGTGCTCAAAGTGCCAAAAAAAAAAAAAATACATTTGAAAAACTCTACAGCAAAGTCTATTTCTAGAAATCATGACCCGGTTACCAAAGATAATCCACAGACCTTGTTGTGATCAGTTTCATGTAGGAAATATTTTCTGTCTACCCAACTACAAAGGCTTGTGCTCGTGACAGTATGAGGTATGAGATGTAAACATTAGCTTTCTTTACAAAGCCTGTTCAAGGCACGAATGTCACACCATTATTCCACCTCCTCATTCCTTATAAAAGGTACATTTGCGGAATGGGTAGTTGCCTTTAAGCTGGCAGAGGAGGTAGTAACAGCACTGAATGAACCTCTGTGTGAAAGGGACTGTGGGGTGGGAATGTGATGTGCATGCGACCCACCCTTGGGAGATTTAAAAAGTGTCACGACTGAACAAAAGGACCTGAACCCAAATGCACAACTCGGGACTCAAAGTTCAAAATCAAAGTTTTATTAAATAAAAACACAAAATGAAAATCACTCTTGACAGAGGAAAAACCTACACTTAATCTAAGAACAAAAATGATCTAGAAAATAAACGCTATATCTTAAGAAACTAAAACTCACTGACTAAAGCTAGACTAAGAGAAAACAAACAGAAAATCACTCTACTGAGGCTGTACTACTACTAGGAAAAAGCAAACAGAAATCAAACTTGAACAAAGTATCAAAACAACAAGACCTGACAATGGCAATGGCAAATGGCATGGACACGACGCTGGTTCTCTGACACAAAGGACAAGACGGACTGGCACAGGACAAAGGGAGACGCAGACAATATATACACACAAGGTAAGGGCACAGGTGGAAACAGTCAGGGGCGAGACAATCAGACCAGCGGGAAAACACACAGGGGAAGGAGCAAGTTGCCTGAAACGAGAGGAGAGTTAGCATCACGAGACAACAGACACAAGACAAAAACTGATTAAATTAACTTGACAACGTGGGGCGTCGGTGGCTTAGTGGTAGAGCAGGCACCCCATGTACAAGGCTGTTGCCGCAGCGGCCTGGGTTCGAGCCCAGCCTGTGGCCCCTTGCTGCATGTCATCCCCTCTCTCTCTCCCCCCTTCACACTTAACTGTCCTGTCCATCAAAGGCAAAAAATGCCCCATAAAATATCTTTAAAAAAAAAAAAAAAAATAACTTAACAACGTTTCTTGGACATGACAGTACCCCCAAGGAGGACCTTGCGAGCAGCTGCCCAGATGTGGTGGCAACACTGGACCATGGCATGGGCGGATGGGACGATGACCTCTTTCTCTGTCTCTGGAAACAAGGGAGGCTGGTAGCCAAAGACGCACTGGAAGGGAGTCAGCCCAGTGGCCGCTGTGGGAAGGGAGTTGTGGGCATATTCCACCCAAGTCAGGTGATTGCTCCAGGATGATGGGTTCTGTGATACCAGGCAACGGAGACGCGTCTCCAGTTCCTGGTTGAGGCGCTCAGTCTGTCGAGGCAGACAGTCAGACCAGTGGGAAAACACACAGGGGAAGGAGCAAGTTGCCTGAAACGAGAGGAGAGTTAGCTTCCAAAATAAAACAGGAAATCACGAGACAACATAGACACAAGACAAAACTGATTAAATTTACAGCGTTTGTGGAAGTCCAAGCCAGGTGATTCTTTATCTTTTCTTAATCATAAACAAGTAGTTTTGTTGCATAAACATAACTGCCGGCCCCCTCTGCATCAAGATGCAATGCAAAAGGCTGCCCTGGTGTCTCTTTAGAAATGCCAGGGGCTGCTCAAGCTGCAAAATATTTCAAGAGGGGATGAATTCACATTGCAAGCTGAGTGCCATCTAGTTCCATAATATTGGATAGAGGGCAGGCATCTCTACGACCAATAGATCCAGCACTCGGCAGCTCACACCAAAACAATCTAAACTGATTAATAGCACTACAGGTAAGAGGGAAAATTCTTTTTTGATTTGGGGGTGAGCTGTCTCTTAAATTGCTTTCTGGTGGAGAATTAGATGAGCTATGGTCTGTAACTGCTTAGCTTAGCTTAGCACAAAGACTGGGAACAGCTAGCCTAACTTCATCTGAAGGCAACAGAATCCCAACTTAACATGTTATATCATTATACAAATGAAAAAATAATACTAAATGCAACAATATTGCATGTTTACAGGCAGTTTAGTGTCTATTTCTTGGCTGGGTACAGGCAACTAGTGAGGGGTCCATGTCATTGGTTCGACAGCCCATTGGTTCGACATCCCATTAGTCCTGCAGTGCTGAACGGCTCACGGCAGGCGTATGGTGCGCCGCGACCGGCTTGAGGCGGAGCAGGCTCACGGCTTATGTGTTTGCCACTTTCTTTTTCATTTTAACCCACACCATGATCTTTTCCTGACCCTAACCAAGTGGTTTTTGTGCCTAAACCTAACCAGACCTTAACCACAGGGCATCATGATGATTTCGGAACGGACTTCGGAACAATGAGTTTAATATGGTCGGAACAATGGGATGTCGAACCAATGGGCTGTCGAACTAATGGGCAGTTCCCTTAGTGAGACCTCCAGGAAGTGAATGGTCCTCGCCAAAAATATATTTGTAACCCCTATAAGTGGTGAACTTTTTATATAGATAACTAAATTAGGTAAAATATGTTCATTAATGAGCCAGGAGGTGGATTTTTATCCTCAGACAGAGCCAGACTGGTACCTTCTAGCTTTATGCTAATAAGCTAAGCTAACTGGCTGCTGTCAAACTATTACTTTAAGGGAAATCTACAGCATGCAATGATAATTCATGCACATTTTTATGCATACTTTTTGTCACAGGTTCACCTTGGAGCCTGTACCTGCAATCACTGTGGTGATACACTGAAGGAGCAGATTTGGACACCACACTGGCTTTGTATCCTCTCAGTGTCGAGTCAAACTGTTAATCTGATCAATATAAAACCGTAACCACTGAGAATGACACTGGAAAAGTGGAGAAGTGGAAGTATATCGAGCTTTCTGAATCATTTATCGCTTCTTGTTGCCGGTGGAGGACCATCCAGTCTGCAATCGAGGCATCTCTCAGTTTCTTTGCTTTTTGTGAAGTGTGGAGTGTTTTGTGAGGAAAGTTATTTTCTGGTTATTACATGCTGTAAGAGGTGCTGGTAGAAGTTATTGTCAGAAAATTATATCTTTGAGCTTTTATTTTGTGAGCTTTTGTTGATTTTTGGTTTCAAACAGCACTGTTTGTTTCTTTCATTGTTGATGCTGTTGCTGTTGTCGCTCAGAATACACAGATTTTCACATTTTGAATTGATTATAACAGAACTGACATCAGTCTTCATATGTGACGATGAAGAAGGCACTTTGATTCAGGCAAATATGAATTTGAAGGGTTCTGACGGTATCTTGCATCATATTAATTATCATATATATGCATATTTTCCACTGCCAAATAATATTGATTGACATTTTACGACTTAAAAAATGAAGGATGCTGAAATGGTTTTTGGAGAGACTATTTATGTTATTGCTTATCCATCCTCGCTCATAAGATTTAAAGCAAAAATGTCACAAAAGGAGACACCTGGTACAATGGGTTATACATTACATAGACATAGTGCAGTATAAGATCAAGCTAAAAGCACAAATACATTCTCACTAGAGAAATGCTTCAGGGTGATATCACACTAATTTCCCTTTAAGTTAATATCCCTCAAAAAATCAAATCATAGCTCATATTGCATGTAGCCAATGCTGTAGACCAAATACTGTGTGAATACCAATGAGAATTAATTTGGCTTACATACTGTATGGATCTTATTTCCATGTCCAGATGGGCATTTTGTCAAAACTGATATATATTTCCCTCCAAATTATTTATTTGTTTTTATTTTACTGCTGTCATTTTATTGCCTTTTTTCTGCAGTGTACAGTATATTATATTTATATGTAGTGAATGTGCTGTTGTCAAGAACAATGCAGACATTCTCCAACTGTATTTTAATGCCACACATGATGACAGTGTTAATGGTCTAAAGCAAAAGCCAAGAAAGAATGTTGTATATTATATTATAAGATGTATTTCAGAGCATCGCTTGACTGTTCTGGAGACAAGATACATAGATTTCAGACAGTGATGGATCATCTGATTAATGTTCATGGCAGTTTTTTGACTGGTCTTCTGTGAAGAGTAACACTGTATTCTGCTGATATGTGATGTAAATAAATGTTGCAGAAAAATGGACTGTCAAGTCACAAAAGCTCGTACGTCATGAGTTACACTGTAGTTTTGGAGGTGTAGAGGTTTTCAGCAAATAACAATATCATTTAGTCCTGTTTAAAGGCAGTTGTTGATGTTCTGAGAAGTATACATTCATTAATTATTATTCAGTAGTTATTGGAAACTTTATTCTTATGCTTTCCTGTAGGGAATTATCACATTTTTGTTCTTGTTCTTGTGCACAGCCCATACACCAGAAGAAAATGTTGGCATTTTACATGTCGGCAAACCACAAATATGGTTTATTTGCACCTTTTATATGTATCATATCAACATTTCTGAATTGACGTAGAATAATCCATAAAACCGGTTGTTTTTTAGCAGGTCATTGCTCTGTTTCTAGCATCTTTTTAGTCCCCAAATAGGGACCTGTTCTGTTTTTTGAGCGGAAATAATGCCACAAAAAGCTATGGTATTCTCCTGAGACATTGCTGCTTTTCCCGCTGGCAGGAAAAGTACTTTTTATGACTTATTGGCTTCCAAATGAGGGTGTTTTTTAGTGACCTGTGACATTTAGCACCAGAATTAGATTCTTTTTAGTGCCCCATCGCTGTGTTTCCAACAGCTTTCTAGGCATCAAACATGAGTGTTTCTTAGGGACCTGTAATTTTTTTTTTGTTGCGTCTTGACCCCCAAAATATTATTGTTTTTTAGCAACCTGTGTTTGAACTGCAGCTTCAAGCTCCCGAATGTCAGTTTTTTTAGTGGCCCATCCCTGTGTGTGGGTATCTCCTCTGCCATCCTTTCTTTACTTGTCCATTGTGCCGACACACCCAAGATAGACTTTTTGGTTGCCCTAAATATATGCAGTCTCACAGCAGCCCTAAGACTTATTACGTACCTGACATAGTTTTTTTTTCTGAGCTATTTGGCCCCTAAATGTGGGTGCTTTTTAGCAGCTTTTGGCTGATTTTTTTCTGTTTTTCCAGTGGCTTTTTAGCCTCTAAACATGAGTGTTTTTTCAGGCAACCGCAGCCTTTTGGTCCCCAAATATGGATGTTTTTTAGTGACCCATCTTGTTTTGCAAGTGGAGTTGGTGCCACCAAAAGCTATTGCTTTTTACCGAGATAATGCTGCTTTTCCTGCTGAGATAATCACAGTAAAAGAGGTTGCTTTTTCCAAGACATCACCGGTTTCCTGCTGGGATAGTGGCACAAAAAGCTATTGTTTTTTACCGATACATTGCTGTTTTTCCTCCCGAGATTGTGTCCCCAAAACATGATCTTTTTCTAACCACAACCACGTGTTTTTTGTGCCTAAACCTGACCACACATTAACCACAGTGCTGCTGCAATGTGAAGGTTTAACATATCTTTTATATAATAACGTGCAACTGTAATGTATCCATGGTTTGCATAAATGTACAATGCCAACCTTTGCTGGCAATTGGGCTACTGTGAGCTAACCAAAAGACTCCCTAGATTTGCTGGTAATTAATTGGAAGTAATTGATTTGAAGTATCCCCATGGACACTGTCTCCATTTTCCCCATATGGTAATTAATACCAAACTAGGTCCTTTCAAGGTAATCCTTCCTTTTCAGGAAATTAAAGGTAAATATTGGAGCTGTAAAGTCTACAAAGAAGTCCAAATAATGGGCTCCCCTGTTGGTTAAGTGACAAAATATGGGATATTGCAATGTTAACACCTTTTCCTTCATGATAAAACCAAGAAAAAGCCACATTTCCATCAGGTTGAACAATTTTTAAATTATAAACATGGTTTGAACTGGCAAAATGAGGAAGTTTCACTGCAACAGCCTCCTCATGCACTCTTTACAACACTACAGCTTAACATTAGAATTCACCTCAGATATAATGCATAAACTTTGGGGGGTTCGGAGGGAGGGGATGACTTTATTTGACTCTCTGGGAAATGAAATCCACCACTGCTGGTGGTCCCCAAGAGGTTATTTGGACCTTACTGTTCTCTCCGTGTCTTTAACCTTCACACAGCCAGGCTGAGGACATTGTGGAACCAGTGTTTTATTAAATTCGCTACATTTCAGCATGCTACCGTCACTCAATTACTCATCTATTGATTATTTTGTGTATTGTGCAGCCTCTGTGGTGTGTGGTATGCACCCACATTTTTACTGTTTTTTTGCAGACTTTCTTGTGCTTTGCTTTATGCATTATTGAGAAGAGAGTCTTTCGCCATTTTCTCCCTGTGCAAGCTTGAGTCTACCTGTGTGCATTTTGCAATTAGTAGAATAATACCATAGCCAGCCTGCACCGAAACTGATAAAAGCCTTACATGAAACAGAAGATTACGGTTTTTGTTAGACTGAGCAGTGAATACAGATAATCCGCTCTGTATCACACTCATCTTACAATGGTTGTTTTTGTCTTGATTCCAGTAAAATCCAGGTAATTCAGCAGAGATGAGATATGAGAAATGTGCTTCAGTCATGTACTGTCATATTGAGCTAGTTTGGAAGAACACTCAGCATGTACAATACCAGTATTGAAAACTGGATTTTTTCAGCCCAGGCAGCAGAAAATGTTGGCATTATGTTACATTTGCACATGTCATATGTATCATATCAACGCTTCTGATGTGACATCATATATGAGCTGACTTTGTCAGTGGGCGGTGGAGGGGATGGTGGATGATGTGTCATGGTGGCGAGACACCTGCCAAGACGCAGACCACTGTTCAAGACCAACAAGCATCAAAACCGGTCATGTTTTGCTGTATTGCGCTGTTGTGCTGTGTTTCTAATGTCTTTTTAGGCTCTAATTATGGGTGTTTTGTAGCAACTTATCAACGTTTTTCCAGCAGCTTTTTATGCTTCAAATGTGGGGATTTTGTAGTGACCTGTTTTTTGTTTTTGTTTTTTTAGCATCTTTAAGCTCCAAACATGGGCGTTTTGTTGCAACCTGTTGGTGTTTTTCCAGCGGCTTTTGAAGCTCCAATCATGGATGTTTTGTTGGAACTCATCAGTATTTTTTTTTTCAGCAACTTTAAGCTCCAAACATGGGTGTTTTGTAGTGACCTGTTGGTGTTTTTCAGCAGCTTTTTAAGTTCAAAACATGGTTGATTTGTAGTGACCTGTCAGTGCTTTTCCAATGGCTTTTTTGAAGCTCCAATCATGGGTGTTTTGTAGTGACACCAGTGGCTTTTTAGGCTCCAATATAGGGTGTTTTGTACCAACCTGTCAGTGTTTTTCCAGCAGCTTTTTAGGTTCAAAGCATGGGTGTTTTGTAGTGACATGTCAGTTTTTTTCCAGCAGCTTTTGAAGCTCCAATCATGGCTGTTTTGTAGCAACATTCATGACTTTTTAGGCTCCAAACTAGTGTGTTTTGTAGCAACATGTCTGTGTTTTTCCAGCAGATTTTAGGCTCCAGTTGTGGGTGTTTGTAGCAACTCATCAGTGTTTCTTCAACAGCTTTAAGACCCAAACGTGTATTTTGTAGCAACCTGTTGGTGTTTTTCAGCAGCTTTTTATGTTCCAAACACAGGTGTTTTGTGGTGACTCGTCATGCTTTGTCAGCGGATTTTGAAGCTCCAATCATGGGTGTTTTGTAGCACCTCATTAATGTTTATCCAGCAGCATTTTGGGTTACAAACATGGGTGTTATGCAGCAACCTGTCAGTGTTTTTCCAGCAGCCTCTAAAGCTACAAATGTAAATGTTTTGTGCGACCCTTTTGTGTTTCCCCAGTGGCTTTTTGGGCTTTGAACGTGGATGTTTTGTAACAATCTGTCTGTTCTTCCAGGAGCTTTTTTGTCTCCAGAAGGTGGGTATTAAGTAGTAACCCATCTGTGTGTTTCCAGCAGATTTTTAGGCTCAGAACGTGGGTGTTTTGTAGCAACCTGTCAGTGTGTTTCCAACAGCTTTTTAGCCACCAAACATTTGTGTTTTGTAACAGCCTGTGGGTGTGTTTCCTGCCAGGACAGTGGCAGTAAAGGTCATTGTGTGTCTGCTGCTTTTTCAGCAAGGATTGTGCCAAACCAGGTATTTGAGGCCAAAACATGATATTTTCCTAATAATAACAGAGTGGGTTTTGTTCCTAAATACAAGTTAATCACAGCATTGTTGGAGCATAAAGTTTCAACATATCTGCAACATATTCATGTGCAAATGTAACAATTGGTCTGTGGTTTGCAGAAACATTCAGTGCCAACATTTTTTCTGCCAATTGGGTTGAATTATTCCGGTAAATTTAAAGAAGGAGACAGAACTTGACAGTCCACTGTGGCTGTGATGAGCGTCAGTGATGCTCAACTTGTAAGTGCATAATAGTGTTTCCAAGTAACCATTTTTCAGTTATTTGCAGTTATTTGTCGAACAATGCAGCTGTGCATTGTTAGAAACACAATAGAGCGGCTCCCACTGGATAAATCGGGCAGCCAGATTCACAATAACTTTGCAGGGGTATGAGAAATACATTTCAACGCAGCAGATCAAATGAACTCCGCGGTGATACCAGATGACTTTAGTGTATTTAAACGATGGAGCTGAACCTTGCAGCTTAAACTTTAAGGTCTATTAGCAAGCAGCAGCGTCCTGCAGTGTGAGGGTGCGGCAGTATGACAGAGCAACATTAAACCTGAACGCAGAGGAGGAGGACGAGGAGGTGGACTGACGATCACAGAGGGGAAGTGCCGACTGCAGATCTCCCAGGATTAAGAAGCAGCAAAAACAGGAGATTATTAAAAATAATAAGGCCCACCTCTGCCTTGCACTAATGACGTGCGTGCAAACCACAGTCACATTAGGGCTCTGGCAGTGAAAATACTTCAGTTGATGAGGGACCTCAACTCATCTACTTTGTTTACTGTGTAGGCCAAGTGTATTGGAAATGAGGGGGGAAATGATCTATTCTGGTGTGGGCAGGCATTTTTTTTCACGTGCAGATTGTAGAACTAACAGGGGAAAGCAAGATCAAAAACCTCCAGAGAGTCAATTACCCTTAGTCCACTGTACGTTGTAAAATAAGGCAGAGCTAGCACACTAAAA